TGCATCCTTAATGTGCGATTCCCTATCAGTTAAATGTCTCAAAACTGACAACGGTGTTGTCGTGTAAATGATAGCCAGGTTTTGTTCAGATTGTTGGTTTTGTCGATAATCTGGCTTCTCGCCCCTATTTTACAAGATCCAAAGGAAGGGTTCCAATGTCTTCAGAAAGCAGTCTCTGCATCATCAATGAGGATAATGCTACACCGGTTATGTCACAACCAGAATCGGCCACTGTCGAAGAAAACAAGAGGTTGCATCTCCGCATGTTAGAAATATGGGACGCCTGGTCCAATGGCAGAGAATCACCAAGTACAATCCCTAGATTTCCCGAGCTGATCCCCAGGACGGGTGGAACCATCAATATCCCCATGACTAACCCATTCATCCCATTTGGGTACAATACTATATCATCCAACTTTACCGGTATGCCTTCTAAGGTCCGCCCCAGGCACCATTTTCATGGGCACCTTCAACAGTGTTTACCGCACCACCAGTCTTTACCATGGCACAACCAACCGTACCTAGGCCATGATTTGAACCCACAACATTCACCTTCCAAGGACCACAATTTCAACCTGATATGACTCATGTAACTCCAGACTCGTATGCCCAATAGCCACACTATAAGTCTCCGATGAAGCAAGAAAGAACAGTTAGAAACCCCAAGCAGGAAGAGATAGCTCAGAAGATGAGAAGCTTGGAATAGAGCTTGAAAAACATGCAAGGCTTGAGTGGCCAAAAAAGTGTTTCCTATTCAGATTTGTGCATGTTCCCAAATGTTCATCTACCTGCCGGTTCCAAAATACCAAAGTTCGAGAAGTATGATGGGCACGGAGACCCAATTGCTCACTTAAAGAGATACTACAATTAACTGAAAGGGGCTGGGGGGAAAGAAGAGTTGTTGATGGCCTACTTCAGAGAAAGTTTGATAGGAATCTCCTCGAAGTGGTACATGGATCAAGAAATCTCCCACTGGCACATATAGGACGATTTGGCCCGAGATTTTGTCAAACAATTCCAGTATAACGTAGACATCGCTCCCGACAGAAATTCCTTGGCTAATTTGAAGAAGAAAACCGCGAAAAGTTTCTGCGAATATGCTATAAAATGGAACGAGTAGGCTGACAAAGTAAAACCACCCATGGACAAAGCAGACATAGTTACAGTCTTCCTGCAGGCCCAGGAAGCTGATTACTAATATGTTATCCGCTATGGGCAAGTCATTTGATGAGGCTGTCAAGATATGGGAGATGGTAGAGAACGGCCTAAAAATTGGCAGGATATTGAGTCAAGCTACTTTGAAAAGCTACATCACAAGCCATTCAAAATGGCTGAGGGGGTTCGGCTAATCGTAAAAAGAGGGAGGAGGGAGACATGATGGCTTCGGGTTCAAAAGGACCTCGTCGATCCTTTGACCACTCTTATATGCCACCAAGAACCCCACAACACTATTATCCACACCAAGATGCAGCCTATATCATGGAACCACCATGCTCAACCTTACACACGACCACAGAAACACTACAACCAAGCCCGAGCTCCACCTCCCAAAAATAACCATCCCTACGAAGCTTCGTATAATCCCTGTACACCACAAAACACACACAAACATAATTCAGACCTTTTTGAGCCTCCCAGGAGAAACAATTTCACCCATATTGGTGAATCTTACTCCAATCTGCTGCAGAAGTTGATCCAACTGGGTCTGTTGCAACCTGTACCTCCCAATCGGCAAAATCTCGAATCCCCATCATACCGGGCTGGTACCAAATGTACTTATAATTGAGGAGTATAACTCCATGATATAGAAGACTATTGGACCCTCAAGATAGCGGTCAAAAGCCTGATTGAACAAAAGAGAGTTATGCTGAGGAACGAGAAGGTCCCTAATATGACTAACAATCCATTACTGTATCACAACAATGGGCCGATCATTAGAATGATTTGTGATGACAAGGAGTTTGATCTAGCATTAAAGGCCATCATTGCCATTGCCAATTCATAGGCAAGACCCAAAGCGGCGGTGAAACAGGCCAAAACTGAGAAGAAAGTCACACCGGTTCCTCAAGCTGTTGAAATAAAATATAGGGCAGCACCTACTAAGAACGTGGTTCTTTATGTTCCTAAGGCCCTGAGATAAGAACAACTCATCCTCAACACTCCCAAGAAATTCGAGGAAAGGAAGGCGACATTGAACATGCCAAGATTGTATGTGCCAAAGGGTACCTATGTGGCGCAGGGCTCGGTAATTTCACCAAGGCTGACTGAGCCCGTGGTTAACAGTCGCACACCATATAGTCTCATGAAATATCCCACCGCAGTCCCCTGGAATTACAAGAGACTGTGGTTACTTACAAAGGAAAAAGGTTATGGGTGAAGTGAACGAGATGAATCAGGCTGGGAGATACCATACCCCAGAACATCTAAAGAAGTCCAAATTGAACAATGATAAACGATTGCCATCCAAGAAGTCTGTAAGCAATGAGGAAACGGAAGAGTTTTTCAGAAAGATGAAAACTTCAAAATACTCAATAATTGACCAACTTCGGAAGACTCCTTCCCAGGTCTCACTCTTGTTTCTGCTGCTGAATTTGGATGAACACTAGAAAGTTCTCCTTTAAACACTGAATGAAACATATTTCTCGGTTGATACTTCTGTTAAAAAATTGGAGAGAATGGCAGAAAGATTCTTTGAGGTCAATAGGATTTCCTTCAGTTGCGATGATTTTCCCCGAGATGGAGGCTCCCACAACAAAGCCCTCCACGTCACTGTTAAATGCGAGGGCTATTATATGAAGAGAGTGATGCTAGATAGTGGTTCCAGGGTTGATATTTGCCCTCTCTCAACACTCCAGAGAATGGAGATCGGAGCAGAAAGAATCCGGGCTAACGTCTATGTGCGAGATTTTGATGCGGCCAAAGGAGACATAGGAGAAATTGATCTGATTTTGACTATTGACTCCGTAGATTTTGAGGTGACATTCCAGGTTTTGGTCTCCACTCCCTAGTTTCTTTTCCAACATAGGGTCTCCACTCCCTAGTTTCTTTTCCAACATAGGGTCTCCACTCCCTAGTTGATATTATTCTAGACATAGGGTCTCCAGTCCCTAGTCTCTTTTCCAACATAGGATCTCCACTCCCTTGTTGATGTTATTTTAGACATAGGGTCTCCACTCCCTAGTCTCTTTTCCAACACAGGATCTCCACTCCCTAGTTGATGTTATTTTAGACATAGGATCTCCACTCCCTAGTCTCTTTTCCAATATAGGGTCACCACTCCCTTGTTTATTTTTATTTTAGACATAGGGTATCCATTCCCTAGTCTTTTTTCCAACATAGGGTCTATTCTCCATAGTTGATTTTATTTTATACATAGGGCCTCCACTCCCCAGTCTCTTTTTCGACATAGGATTTCCACTCCCTAGTTGAGTTGATACATCATTCCAAAATAATCATGTTTTCTTAGAGTACGCCAATCCCGACCTTTTTATTGCTTTTAATAATGAAGTAGTATAGAGTTTTGCTACAAATAACTCCCGAAATTTTTCTAGTGAAAATTGGGGCAGAAACATTCCGTTCGTTTGTTTGTTATGGTATCTGAGCAGGTTTTACCTTGAGGCAAAGGGTTCGAGATGACCAAAAGAAGAAGTCGCAATCCAGAATAAAAGAAAAAAAAGTGAATCCAAAACGCAGAAGCGGATGAAAAAATGGGAACCACTCAAAACATGACTGAATTCACGAGCATCGCATGTCCCGTTTTGATCAGAAAAAGCCGTAGAAGAATGAAATAGCACCTGCAACTAGTAAGCATTAAGGTCCAAATCAAAGTCTGCATAAAGAACCAGTCAAGACTCAAGATCAAGTTTCAGAAGACTCATAGATAGAAATCTTGTAACTCTTGGTTGATAGGCTTGTTTAGTTTCTTTTTCATTTTGATTTTGGTGTAATAAGGAGTTCAGCAAGTAGTAACAATAGCAACAACAGTGAAATCACAGCTTTTTGGTAGTCCCAGCTACCAAAACTTCCAGAACTACATTGACTTGATTTCTTTATAGCCAAGGATATGTAGACAACCTCCGAAGCAAGGTTCGCGCAAACTTTTTCAAAACGCTTCCAAATGGTATGTCTAACAGGCAAAAATTGCTCATAATTGCTCACTTTATCTTTTCCCGAAAACTCTTCATGTTTCGAGCAAAGAGGTACAGTTGTGAGCACGTAATTTTTGCCATACGAAAAATACTCCTACAAAATCCACAAAAAAATAGATTTTTTCTAATTGTTTTTAATTTTTATAGAATTTCTAGGAGTTTCTTGTTAATTTTTTGTTTGCATTTAGTTTCATATTTAATATCTTAATATCATAGAAAACACCTTAAAATATTTTAAATCTTCATTTCATGACATTTTAGGTTTAATTACATTTTAGAAATTAATCACTCATTAATCGTTAGAATTAATACATGAAAATTACAACAAAAATACATTAGTAATTTGTTCTTTACCTTTTAGTTAATAATTTAATTAGTGTGATTATTAGTTAATTTTTTAGATAATTTGGTTGTAATGGTTTAATTATGCAAAGTAATTGGGTATCTTAATAATGGGTTAATTTTGAAATTGAAAGAAAGAAAGGAAAAGTGGCCATTTTGAGTTTCAAAATTGGACTGGGCCAACTTTAAACAACCCAGTTGCCTTAAATCCCCCCAGTCCATCCCAAAGTCTGACCTAGTCCAGTTCCTACGTTAAAATAAAATGACCTCATTTTAATCTGGGCTGATCCCCACCATTGATTACCTTAGATCTAATGGCTACGAATTAATTCCCTTTTTCCCTTATAATTGTCCGAGAACCCCCCCCCCCCCCC